AGCCCACCCAGGAATGTTGTCAGTAATGCGATTCCATTTTCTCCATAAGACAGTGACTCCTGTCATTTCAAAAAGTATCAGCAGAGCAAGGTCAGCTGAAATTGTTTGATCTTTAGGTACGGTACGTCAAAGCTGGTGCAGGTGTGGCGGATCGTCTGGCTCACACGTACAAACTGTTCCACATGCAAATGTCCACTGCTTCTGAGGATATGTGCCCAAGGGGTGGTGAGATGAGGCTTCTTCTTTTTTTGCCTTGCCAAGTTTGAGACAAAACCAAACAAAGTCACTGCCTTGTCCAGGAGAGGGACACTCGTAACTTGTCGCGTCGTCGCGCGCGGCGTATCATGCGGCAATGCGCGGTAGGTTCTCGATCTGTTTCAGTTGGTCGATTGGAGCAGCGAAAATTTAATGGAATCAAGCGGAGACAATACTTCGTGACATATCTAATTTTTCCCCAACTTTTAGGAATCTCAGACGCGGCTCTCAAATAGACGCTGGGAAGCTTCCTTGCCGCTTCAGTGCTAAGAAGTGACTACCCTCTTTCTTTCATTTCGAGGTTTTTTTAGCTAGCCAGAGGCTACCTCTCATGTTACAGGAAGGACAAAATCCCGAGCTTCTACCGCGAAGTGATACGCTTTCCCGGAAGGATCATTTTTCATGCATCGCATAGATGGAACATCATGAATATACTACGCGGACCACGCGGACTGTATTGTTCGCTGCGGATGAGGGGGCGTGTTCGGGATATGTTTGTCCTGTTGCAAGCCAGTGTCTTTTCTTTTTTTTTTTTCACCGAGCGCTAGGACTGTATCATTTCGTTCGTATTAGATTCCACCAATTGTTGGCGGTCACACACTTCAACAAGTGTTGGAGAACGGGTTGGCGGCCCGGCAGACCCAGCCTCACCGACTTACTCCTCATCTGCGGCGAACAAGACCGTAGATATGTAACGCCTATAACGGGTATTGGTGATGATTTCAGAGGACGGAGAAAAAAGAAGAGTACGGTTTTTTCCCATACCGTACCAGTGTTCTGTGCCCCGCATTATAAAATGGGTTCCAACATTATTTCGAGTCATCATGTTGAGCTTTCTCAAACTTTGGAACGGTTTATTTCCTACGCTTGCTCGTTTAGGGATGTCTGGTCAAAGTCATGTGTTGGGTGCATTTGAGTGGAACACCACGGCTCCGTTATCGAGGACTCCGGACGCGTTGCTTGTCCAGACCGGCTGCTGTTACGAAGAACGAGGATCGGGGCACTTATACGCGGAAAACCGAGAAAGCATAGTGGCGATGATGAATGAAAGGTGAGCTGTGCTGCTATTCACTAAACTCTTTAACAGACATGCCTTACGGTTGCAAAGAGTGCAGGTGATGGTACGGCTGTTCAGGCTGAAAGGCGTTCGTCTGGTCGGCGATGACGTATCGCTGGCCCTGCGCGCGGATAACGGAGAGCTACACACGCTTAAAATGACTACAAACCACTACGGTGCAGCGTTTGTCGGCCTTCCGAATGGCACACATCATGTTCAAGTGATGAAAGGCGAACAACTTTATGCAGAATTCAATGTCCAGGTTTGCTTGAATGTTTCAATTTGTTCAACACATAGAAAAAAAATCAGTATTGCTGGAGCCGATCTTGACTGAACCATGTCTATTTCGGCATTCTTAACCACAACTCTAACGACTATGGATAGGTTTAACAGAAAGTCTTACTTAACCGACGGTACATATGCCTTGATAAAACAACTTTTTTCCATTAACAAAATGGAACTTGAGTGGTGTGGAACTGAACTGTCAGTTTATTTTTCTCCTGATGTTATTTTGGACATCAGAGCAGATGGTCAGATGTCGGATGTGGCCAGGCCCTTAGGGTACAATATCTGACGTTAAACTTCCCTTTCTAGGCCCCTGAATTTCAACGAGTCACGTTTTGACACAGGCGCGTGACTTCTGTAAAGAAAACAGACATTGGCAGCTGGATAGCTCGTAGCGTTGCTTCAGCTATCTTTTATGAATGACCGGGAAATGCATCGCCTTAGAACTGCGAGTGCCACTTCCCAGG